TTGATTACCAATAAAAGTCAGTGGCTTGGACTAACCAGTGCCTTTGCTGATTAAGCAGCATTGGTCATCCTGGCTCCCCCATTTCTCTGTCTCTTTAGTTCTTTTAGATTTTTCTCAGCCTTGCACTGAGCGGGAGGTCAGAACCTACTGCAGAGGTCTATGATATATTGGATTCTGCTGCAATGAAGAAAGAAACATTTCAGTGTTAATACTGGAGAATTGGTGCAAAAATTAGACTATCAGGATGAATACAATGAAATTGGTCCTCCAAAAGGAGTGGTGCAGAACAGAACCTTATGTTTGACACTGAGATAGAGTCAGGTGATGAGTGGCCAAAAGATAAGTGATCCTCACTACTCAAGGGAAATATTTAGTAAAATGGTTATGGACAATATCTTTAGAGATAGGTTAAGAGCCTCATGCTTCAAGAACTCCAGCAAAAGCATTGGGAAAAGAAAACTTGAAAGTGTGAACATGTTGCTGGCTGTGTGTGTTGGCATGCTAGGCAAGGAAAGAAAAGAACTCAGGAAAAATGGACTGATTTGCTCAGAACATCCAGCAATTTGTACTCCTCAAGGATTGAAATTCCAATGCACTTAGAATGTAAAAAGTCAGAAATAAGGTATTAAAATAAAAGTTTTTGAGCTACAATGTCATGCTGTGACTCAGCCTAATGGCAATGACAGGTTAAGGATCTTTCTCCCTCATTGTTCCCTATTGGGTGGATGTAGAGCAGGGCAGGAAACTCTCAAAGACCTAGGAGGAATTATATTGCCAACTAAATGACAAGACTCCCCTCAGAAGTCTGTATTTGTGTCATGGGCATTGCTTCCCTCATTTTGGGCTCCTGTGACTTAATGCCACCAACTGGGTGGCTTAAAAACAACAAAAGTTGAGGGCAGGGATTTAGCTCAGTGGTTCTGGTGCTTGCCCTGCAAACACAAGGTCCCGAGTTAGATCCCTCTTACCACTGTTCTGGAGGCTGAGAAATGAAGATCAAAGATCCAAGTCCACTGAGAGCTGCTTCCTGATGCATGAACAGCAGTCTCCTCCCTGTGCCCCATATGGTGGTGGGGGCAAGGTTTCCCCAAAGCCCCTGATGAGGGTGTGGATTCCATCTTTAGTGAGATAATCACCTCTCAAAGATCCCATCTTCTAAGACCATTAGGTTGTTACAGGGCTTGCAGATGCTGGAGTCGCCTTCTGGAGGGGATCCTGGGTTCTTTCTGTTCTGAGCAAAGACTTGGTCAAGACAAGTGCAAAAGGTATGGAGGTTTCTATTTATTAAAGGTAGGGAAAGGATCAGGCTCTGCAGAGCGAGTCTGGGGTAAGTAAAGGTAGGAAAGTGAGCACAACCCACAGGATGGGAGCAGGCTTCTGTGCAGGGACACACCTGGCCAGAGCTCAAGGCCAACCATCCTTTTAGTGTTTTCTACCCTGAGGCTGGCTCAGGTCTAGGCCATGCTACCAAAAACCAGCCTGAGATCTCCCGAGCAGCCCATGTGCAGGGCCTGGGGAACTGTTCTGTACCCCTGTCCCAGGACCTGTCATGAACAGGTCACACCTACTTCCCCAGCCAGCTTTGCCACACCCCAATCTCCTGCTTCATCCCCAGAGAGACACAACTCCCCGTAATTCTTCGTGGGGTGCTTAGGAAGTAGACATCTGTGTCTTCTCATGCCGCCCTGCCGGAGGGGCCTGTAGCCCCAACCACCTGGCGGTGATGTGCTCTCCAACTATCTGGGGCTCCGTGGCTCACAGGCTGGGTTGGAGAAAAAAACCTGACAAAAGGCAGTGAGAAAAGAGTGGGTAACTGATGGAAGAAGGATGAAAACTTTGCTATTCGGTTGGAGATGGGTAGCCCGGATATGAGGAGCAGGTCAGGTTTCCACACTTCTTGTGGAGGACAGAGTAAGGCAAAGAGGAACGTTAGCTGAGACAGCCAGAGCCTAAGAGCTGTAGCCTTAGCAGACCACTCACATTATGGATCTGATTACAGGTAGGAGTCTCAATACAGGGCCCAGTTCCTCATCTGTACCCCTCTCACCAGCAGGCTCCTGCCTGCTCCTACTGTGACCTGCATCCACCCACTGTGTTGGGCACAAAGGATGGGCACCTGGCAGGGGCAGCTCCCACAAAGGACTGTCCTCCTGTCTCCTCTCACCTATGAATTTGATTTACATTGGTTTTGTACCGTGTGAATCCCACCTATTTTAAAGTTAGTTGAAAAAAATAGTAAAATTAAAATATCCATCTAAGTAATTTGATTTGGCACTGAGTTCTCTCCAAAATTGCCTCCTCCTTCCCCTGTCCTGATGATGGTAATCTGGCCCGAGGCTCATAGATAATATTTTAATTTAAAGTAGCTGCAAACAAGCTTGCTGTACTACTTAGATAACTGAAGAGGAAAACGTGGAAAAACCAATGATTCAGGAATGAAGCAGGGAGAAATATTAGAAAGAGGTATAATTATATTACATAGTGAATGTTGCTAAAGATTCAAAAGTATCAACTTCTATGAATATGCATAGTATATTTTTATTCCAAAAATCTTCAGGAGCCAAGACAGCAATGCTATATATTGATTCCTTGGGTTCCCTTCACTTTTCAAAAACTGTGGTATTTGTTTTATTTATTTAAGGAGAAAAAAAACATGCAAGAATTTGCTGAAATTGAAGTCCCCACTCGTCAGAACAGGGTGGGCGTGAGTGCCATGACACGCCAAGGCCACAGTGCCGTGAAGACTCACAGCGCCATGCCGGGCTGACGGGGCTGCTGCAGACAGGCCTGTGCTGTCTGTTCAGCCTGGAAGGCTGTGGGCAGAAGTCAATGGGAGTTTTGCAGCAGGAAGTCATTGTGAGGGAGCCTCAGGGTGTGCTCTCCAGGTAGACTGCACAGGAAGTGCGATGAGGTAAGGACAGAAAGAGGAAAATCAAAACCTCTCCTAGGTATTCCGAAGAAGAGAATTGGGGTGCTGTGCCTGCCAAGGAAACCAAGGCAAGAGCAGGCCTGCATGGTGGGGGTGGGAAAGCCCATTAGACCCTGGTGTGCAGGCCAGGTGGACGGCTGAAGGCCCAGGCGTGGGCAGCAATGGAGTCCTCAGAGCTGCATGTAAAGTACAGAAAGGCCTTTATTTTAATAGAAGAAATAAGATAATGTTTGTAAATGGATGGAGACAATTCTTCAAAGAAGCAGAAATCCACCAGACGGGGAAGAAAGACAGCTAGAATCATTTTCTTACTGGGTTTTGGCTTTTGGAAAAGAGAGAGAAACCAATGCTACCTCTGAGTTAATGAACCCAGGAAGGATCCTGCACTTAGAATTAGCAGTGGTGGGGCTGGTGAAGAAAAATTAATACTTCAAAAGATTAGTCTGTCAGTATAAACAATATCTGTGGTGCGAAAAAGAAAACACTTTATTCTGGGCCCAAAGGAGTGGTCATGACCCAGGAACTTGGGTTCAATCTACTCCAGGTGCTGTGCCCACCAAGGAGGATCTGACGTGGGCATCTGTGGCCTCAGAACAAGAGGAGGCCTCAGATCAGTGCTGTCCCAGCGCACCGGTGGGAGGACCAGCCCAGGCTTCAGACATCATCTTGCAGCTTCTTCAGCTTTAAGGTTGGTGGCGACTAGAGGTCTGCTACACTCGGCAGGCTTATGTAAAGCAGTCTCAGATGCAGAAGTTAAGGTAAACAGCTATCAGAGGGATAAGGACTATTGACCCACAGAGTCACACCTCGCTGTAACCGGGAGGTTCTGCTCAGCTAGGTCACACAGTCCACAGGGTCTTCGACACGAGTAAGGCTGCTCCAGAACTTCAGTTCAACGCCCACCTGCAAACACCGGGCCACAGTTTCACCATCGCCTCCCTGGTTCCAGCGTCCTCCACTCTGCTGCTGCTGCCTCCACACCTGTTTCCACATCTCACCTCCCTGCATCCAGCCCTGTTCCCTCCTTCTGTGCAAAGCTTCCTCTCAGCTGACAGAGAGATCGCTGAAAGACTCAAGTTCAGCTATGTTTCTCCTCCAGCTTACATGTGTCTTAGTCACTTTTCTTACTGCTGAGAAAAAATTACCCAACATCTACATCAGAAAGGAGGAAAGGTTTAGGTTGGCTCACAGTGTGTAGAGGCTTCAGTCCATAGTTGCTGACTCTCAGGCAGGGCAGCACGGCAAAGAGGCATGGAGGAAAAACTACTCATGTCCTTGGATCCAGGAAGCACAAGGGAGGAGACAGGGAAGGGGGTGAACCCAGGCCACGCCCACAGTGATCTGTCTCATTGGCGGGACCCTGGCTTCTAAAAGCAAGTCATCTGTAAGTTCCCCTAATCCAACCACCTTCCAAAAGCCCTGCCTATGAGGATGTGAGGTGGTGGGAACATTTCAGATCTACACCTTAACATTCTTCCCCTGGCCCTCAGAAGACTCGTGTGTAGGTCTTCATGCAAAATACTTTCAGTCCATCTTGCGGAGTTCCCAAAGTCTTAACAGTTTTAGCCTGGCTGAAAAGTCCAAGTCAGTCTCCACCAGATTAGTTAGTCTACCACCTTTATCTCAGTCTCTCACAGTCTTAGAACACAAGAGAAATGTAGACAAACTTTCTGCTAGAGAGCGTGGCCTAGAGTCCAACTGCCAGTGGAGTCCTGGTTCCCAGCTGAGGCTGGCTGACCCTCGTGTTCGCTGCTGCTTTGCTGTCAGCATTCCTTTTCTGAGCTGGACTGGAGCCTCCCTTTGTGCTCAGCCTGGCTTGCAGCACGCTAGGCTTCTCCAGTGGAGTCTCCAAACCTTTCCAAGCTCCTCCCACAAACCAGTTCCCAGTGCTTTTGAATCACATGGTCAGGTAGTGTCGTAGCAATGACTCCACTTTTCTGGTACCAAAATCTTAGTCACTGTTCTTATCATTGAGACAAAGTACCCAATACCCACAAATTAAAGAGGGAAATTTTACTTGGCTAACAGTTTATAGAGGTCTCAGTTCATAGTCAGTTGGCTCCAAGTGTGGCAGAGGGGCCTGTCAGAAGAGATTTGCTTATATCATGGTGCACAGGAAGCAGAGAGCAAGGAGAGAAGAGCTAAGAAGGAAGATGTGTCCTTCCAGGTCCCAGCTCCAGTGACCTGCTTTTATGCTTCTGTCTAGATGTCCCCCAAGCTTCATGTGCTCATAGGTGGTGCTTTGAGAGGTGGCTGGTTCAGGGGGCAGATGCTCATCAGTGGATTAGTCCACTGATGATGAGCATATGGCTGACTTCTGTAAGGTGTGGGGTCTGGTTGGAAGAGGGGGGTCGAATGGAGAGTGGCTTGGAAGGGCTCATCTCCTCCTGCTCCTTGCTTGACCTCTCCTGCTTCTGGCCACCATGCCATGAGCACCCTCCCTGGGAGCCCGAAGACTGTGGGCTGCAACCTCTACAAACTGTGAGCAAAAATAAAGCTTTCCTCCCTTAATCAAATTCCAGGTGTTGGGTAGGGTATTTTGTCTCAGCTATGAGAGAAGCAATGAAGATTCCTTCTCTTCTGACTAGAAATGACCTCCTAACAGCAAGTCAGGTTTAAGCTCAATAATCCAACCACTTCCTCAAAGCCCCACCCATGAGAACATGAGCTTGGGAGATATTTCAGACATAACTTTAGTAATGTATGTTCATTCCTTCCTGTTCCTGGTAAACAAACCCATGGCTATGGCTTGTGAAAGTCCTGCAGGACCTGTGAGCGAGCAGCTCTGGGCCCTCGATGCCCTCTGCTGTGTCCCCTGACTCCCCAGATCTGACCACTGCTCCGCAGTGCAGTCCTTGCCTGGTGAGGTCTCCTCGTCTGGGGTCTCAGGTTCAGATTCCCCTCACACCTGAACCTCTGCCCAGTCTGTGGCTGTGCTTGGGTCTCTGCCTAGGAAGAGGTCCGGTTTGGAGGAGGAACTGGTCCTTCCCCTGGGCCCGTGAGGCTCAGCCTTACACACAGCAGGATGAGCCCAGGTCCGGTGTCGGGAAGGCTGGAGGGTTTGGATCCATATAGATTTTACATTTCCGTGAAGATTTAAGAAGGGAAACAGGGAGCTGGTGTGTCCCTATCTGCTGGAAATCCTCAGGATGTCCTCAGAGCTGGAGACTGGTGAGTGGAGAGGTGGAGTGCTGAGTGTGTGTGCAGCAGAAGCAGTGACAAGGTAGAGAATGGTGGGAATGACCAGAAGGTCCAGTTCTCCTGGTGCTCATCTTCCGACTGGTGGCATTTGAGTAATATTTCATTTTACCACCAACTCTACCAGTAGCAATGACAGGAGATTAAACGTAAATTGGTTAAATTGGGTGTGGTGGTGCATGCCTATAATCCCAGCACTTGGAGAGGCTGAGGCAGGAGGATTGCAAGATCCAGCCTTGCCTGGGAAACTTAGTGACACAGTCAGACCTCATCTCACAATAACAAGTAAAGGGGCAGGGGCCAAGGAGTAGTTCAGTGTAGACTCTGTGTCAATCCCTAGTGAAATGACTGTGTTTCCAATATATTTGTGTGATGATATATTTCAAACTTTTTGAAAACTGAAGTGTTAGAAATTTGAACTCTATTTTTTTTGAATTTTAAGTTTGTCTCAATTTTCCTTCAATGTCATCTTTCTGCTAATTTTTAGATTCTTCTATCTAGGATACTCAGATCTCTGTGCTGATAATATGGTGTTTCAGAACAAAGTCATAGGTAGATGCTTATGGAGAAAGTCCAGGAACAAATTCTTCCCTACCAGCATCAGGTGAGTGAAGAATAACTTTGAAAAATGGTAACTTTGTGAACGGTTAGAATCATCTTCTTGACCTAGAATTAGACACTTGGTTAAGACTGACACTGAGCCGGGGTCCTGTCCTGCCTCAGTGGCCTGGACACTGCGTAGTTGCTGCTTGCTTCGAGCCCCGTGCCCTGCACATGAGGTGCGGATCATGAAGTTCAGGAGCACTTCTATCAAAAGTCATTAGATTACCTAGAAAGTTAATCTGAAACATGCCAATAAACTAAAAATGTAATGATTTTACCATAAAGTAATTAGACACAAATGATAAAAACTTGGAATAAGTATTAATTGTGTGGTCACATTATTCCTCTCTCTAGTCAGTTTATATTTTTAGAACTTTAATCAGCTTCAAGATGACTGTGATGTCAACTATTACTTAATTGTCTTCAGAAAACCCTTACACCAACTGTAAAAATAAATGTCAAGAAGCAAATCCTGGGAGTAAATTTTCTTCTTTTTCTCAGCCGAGCTGCATTATGTTGGTATTTATCAGATACTCACGGCCACTTGGCCACTGTTTTTGTTGACAAAGACTTAATCTTCCCTCTCCCATCATTGGAATTCTGATTTAAGGGCCAGACAAGCCGGTTCTTGACCACCCTTCAAAAGCTGGGTTCAAAGCATCCTTGAGTGGATTCAGGAAGCTTTTGGTGAAAGGGATTTTTGTGTCTGAGCCTTAACCAATTTCAGTAGCTGTGAAATTGCAGACTTACCCATTGGTGATGATTACACAGTGCTTCCAGCAGAACTCAGGGAGATGGAGAGACACCCTGAGAAAAATGAAGACACGGGGCTTATGTAAACTCAGAATTTGCTGCATTTGTAGCTACATTAAATAAAGCCTGAGAAAAATTCGGCTGATAATTTTAAAGGGAGGAGGCTGCTAGAAGAGAGAGATCACTCTTTTATAAAACTAAATTCTATTGCACATATGTAAGTTGTGCAATATGATGCTGTTAGATACCTAGTTAAATAGTTACTATGGTGGAACAAATGGCTGTGTTCATAATCTCACACCTCCGGTGGCAAAAGCAGCTGGATTCTAACATTTAGCAGAAGTCCTATGCGTGATTCTTACCTGCCGTCCTCGTGCTTTAATGCAGAGTTGCCCACTGGTTCATCCCACATGTTTGCGCTTTGTATCCTTTGACCTACATGGCCCCGCTTCCTCCTCCAAACCAGACCTCTGCTCACTGTCTCATTTGTGAAGGGAAATAACACACTTTAAACAATTCAGAACAGCACAGCTTACACCAAACCCAGGACATAATGCACAAGGCATGGTCGTTTTGCACATTTTCAATGTGCTTTTTCCCGATTTGTTATTCCCATCTTAGTTTCAACTGGGAGAAAACAGCATATTTAAATATTAATCATTCCAAGCAACCAACTCCTGATTCAGAAAAACCTGGCAACTATTAATAGAACAGAAAATGAAGCACTTCTTATGAAATCTGTGAGCAGACTGATTAATATGTTTTGGATGTTTATTGGGAGAGATGAAAGGAAAGGAGATGATAACTGCTTGATGCAAGTGATTACTTTGATTTCATTAGATTATTGTTTTTTTTCCTATTTGTGCTGTTCATATCCAGATAATCGAAATGCAAATAATGGGTATACTTAGTTATAAAATAACGGATTTGTGTAAAATGCTCACTTTTAATTTTTATACATTTTTTGGAGGCTTTTCTATTTTGTAAGAAATAATTCTTGGGCTGACTGAGTGTTTTGGTGTTTGGGTCTGCAGTCTATTTCATTTTTTAATGCCTGGACATTTATTGTTTATTGTGTTGCTTCCCATTCACCTCCAGACTTTTTGCTCTTGCAAGTTCTTGTGTTAAGTACTGTCTTACTCCTTTAAACAGTGCTTTTGAAAGCGTTATATTCCTTGTGAGTGTCCCAGAGAGATTTTGATTTGTCATGGTCCAATTAATTCCTCTTGCATTGTGATGTATATTTTAACTTTTCTTCTTATGGGAAATTTTATTTATGAGGTGCATAGCAGTAGAGCCATGAAGCAGAACCCCTGTTCTCCACCTGTTGCGGGGAGTATCAGTGTTTCACCCATCTTTCTCCGCGGGATGTGACATCATTTTCATCACAAGTACTTCAGTATTGTAATTATTTGTATTGGTTCCTTGACCTACTCTAATTTGGATATTTATTAATTTTTATCTTATTCAAGTAATATTTATTCTTAATGAGATGTTTAATTTTAATGTAGGCAGTACATATTTTATTTGATTTATCCAATACCTATTATTATTATTTTGTTTTGTTTTGTAAGATAGGGTCTTATTATGTAGTTTAGGGTGATCTCAAACTCACTGTGTACTCCAGGCTGGCCTCATACTTGTAGCAATCCCCCTGCCTCAGCCTCTCAAACACTGGGATTATAGGCATGCTCCATCATGCCCTGCATAGTACCTATTTATTGCTTTCTCTTGTTGGCTAGGTTTTCTAACAGATGATTGCTGATATATAGGAATATTTTTCCCTTTCTATAATATTTTATGAATATTACATTGTTCCATATATTTTGTGAAATTTATTAAAATGTGGAATGCAAAGAGGAGCACATTCTCTTCATTTCAGACAGTAATCATTAGCATTTTGTGATCCACCCTTGTTTTTCTGCATCTATTTGAAATCACACTTTGCATATGACACTGTGTTCAGTTTTCTCTTAACTGATATTACACCATCACCAGAGCATCTTGCTGAACTTTTACCCCCAGACTCATTGGTGGCTTCCTGATTCCCAGCCTCCCTTCCCAGCATGGATCTCCATGTACCTCTGAGAGGCTGCTTGTATGTGATTGCTCTCTGCAGGTCTCCTCCAGCTGCTCTGCTCTGCTCTTATTTCTCCAGACATCTCCAGTTTCTCTCCTACTTGGGGAATGTGAGTGCTTTGCTCTTGTTCGGTGGCTCCAGGTTTACACAATTCTGCAGATTCCTCTCACCATCCCCCCAAACTCATCCTTTTGAGGGGTGCAAGGATAAAGTGCAGCTGAGGAATCTCACACTTGCACCTTCATCCAAGAACAAAACTAAAGCAGTTCCTGCCCCTGAGTCTTCCCTTCCTGTGTTGTCTGCCACGGATCCTGACCCTGCTGCTCTGTGCTCAGGAAATAGGTGGTGAGTCAGGTCTTTTGAGACACCCTGCAACCAGGCTTTACTTGGTTCTCACTGATCTCAAAGAATATCACTTACAAGTAGTATCAGTGTACTTTTAAAAATGTTTGACCACATTTTTAAATGATGACACAAAAATGTTGAATGGTAAGGTAGTCATGTGCATCAATCTTTTAGGTTTTCAACCCTGACTTTCACATTTAGAAAAATCAAAAAAAATCAAAAGTTACGTGTTCAGTGCAAAATGTAACGTTTTTAAAGCAGAGTTTCCAAGTCTTCCACCAAAATGCCTGCAAGGCACTGAAGTCAGATGCAGATTCATTGCTGCATCAAAGTATCAGGAAACTCCCAGCTGGACCTGCATTCTGAACATGCCCATGGGCCTTACACCTCTTGGCACACCCAGGTCCCTTGTGGAAGGTAGAACACTGGGATCAGGATCAGGGGTCAGGCAGTTTTCCCACTACCTACATTCTGGGTTTGAATTGTTCGGAAAATGATGCCTCCCCCTGCAGAGTGAGCCCTGGTTTGCATTGAGTGCCCTGGGCTCTGCCCAGCTTCTTGGTGACTTCTTCGCAGCTCTGAGTACACTTGCTCTTGGGTCATTTCTCTGTCCTCAGCCCATCCCATTGGATGACAGGGCCCTGGAGACAGGGACTGTCCTAATTATTTCTGCCTCTGTACTGCCCTAGTGCATTCCTATATCACAGGAAGCTCATCATATATGCTTGTGGAGTTGTTAACATAGTTAAAATTAGATTAGTGTTCTGACTGTGTAGGAAGTGTTATCATACATTTCCACAGAAAAGAAAAAAGTACTTGTCATGAATCATAAATAATGCCTTCGGTACATTATTTTTTTCAAAGTAAGTGTTTTCAGAAAATAAACCCATTCATTCAGATGTATAAATAAAAACAAAGTACACCTCTACCTGGCTCTGCCACAGGTTGCCAAATATACTCAGAAATTAATGTGTTATACACATATGTAAATACCGAATAGCTTCTCTGGTGTGAGAAACTTAAAGTGTAAGGAAGGACTAAAAGGTATAATAGATAATGTGAAATAGGAAGAAAAGGGGCAAAGGGGAAGGGGAAGTGGGGGGATAGGGGAAAGGATAGAAGGGAATGGAATTAATATGAGAAAATGGAAAAATAGGAACAAAATCTTTGTAAATAGGGAGGAATGGAGGGGTTGAAGGGAGGGCAGGGGAAGGGGGTAAAAAATAAGAACCAAGAGAGATTATGTAAAGGTGCAAATTTCCAATGATGCAAATTTCCACCATATTGTATACCTAAAATGTACCAATAAAATACTATTAAAACTTTTGCACAGAAAAAAGAAAAATTAATGTGCTATCTCCCCGGCTAGCAAGCGTATCTTTCCATGAGGCTGGCTGCTGGAAAGGAGGCTGCTCACACAGTTTCTCCAGCCAGACTGATGGGAGCTTCTGGCATTCCTCCCCTCTGCTACCCTGCACCCCTGTCTTTATTGTGCCACTTCCCTGAGGAATTCCATGCTGTGCTTCAGTTCTCACAGAGATTGCTGCAGCACAGAGCAGCGTCCTCTTGCCTGAATCTCCCGTCTCTTGTTTCACCTCTTCGGCCTTCACTGCCATCCCTCACCACAGTAAAATGAGGACAACTGCATCAGAGCTCATCAGTGCTCAGGCTCACGGCTCAATGGTACAGTCACTCAAACCCTGCCTCCCGAGGAATCTTTTATGAACAGACTTTGTCGCCCTTCCTCAGTATTTTCCTGCCTGTTCTGTCCTCAACCTTCAAAATAATTCTAAGAACCCTGTGCCTCATGGGCCACATAAAACGTGTCATGTGCACGAATCACATCAACTGCCATGCCCTCCCTTCATGGCCTTCTCACTTCCGTGTGTTCTCCCCAGCAGAGCTAAAAAGCTGACTGCATTTTGGCTGAGCATTTGCACCCTTCTATTATCTCACTTACTATGTTCTGTCGCCACAGCTCTCCTCTCTCCCACCTTCCAAGCTGAATCATAGTGGTCTATAAATCTGCAGAATCCAGAAGAGCAATAGATACAACCAGAAACTAGGAATAAAGCTTAGTGAGCCAGTGTCCTACAGTTCTAAAGACAGGAAGACCTTCTGAAGACAAACTTCTAGATTATTGTCTCCTGTGGGAAATTGTAGAATTCAGCTATCTAGTTGTAAGAATAGATCACAAGAAGTTTGTTAACTAAGAAAATTAAGTCGTTTCTGGGAAATTCCACAAGTCTGTTTGTTAAAAGAATGCCAGAAAACTTTAAGAGACATTATAAAAGTCTCACGGGAGAAAAACAGGTTTTCCTAGTTTTCTTATTTACCATTTTCTGGGATCAGAGGACCGCAACCCAATGACTCTATGGGTGGTAAGAGAGATACGACTCACTGTGCACATCTGTGATGTTTGTGGTGGGCCGGTGGGCTTGATTTTGGCTAAAGTCGTCCTGCTCTCTTGATACTATCTGATAAGAAGAGGGCTTCAGTGTGCTCTTTGATGTACGGGATTGGTGAACAGAAACAGAGGACTTGTGAATTCGCCTGTAGCTTTTATGAGTCACTTAAAGTCATTTGTCACCAGAGGTTAAAATCAGAAAGGCAATAGCCAAAATAACTAAGGTGCTTTCCTACATGTATGAAAGCCTTGCTTCTTTCCTTTGTGATTGTCCAATAGTGCCAGAGGAATTAAACTGCTGTTCGTCTCCCAGGCTGTCTCCTTTTCTTTCTTTAAAAGTTGGTGCTTTCTGGGTTCCAGGTCTCCCTCTACAGAGACCTCCAACAGTCTTCTCTAATTCTTTTCTCATCTTGATGATGCCTTGTTAGCTTTTTCATCACTGGGACCCAATATCTGACACCTGCAAGTCAGAGGAGGAAAAGTTTACTTTGGTTGAGGGTTGTAGAGATTTCAGTCTGTGGTCAACTGGCTCCAGCATGGCAGAGGCCCCTGGCTGAGGAGAGGCTGCCCATGGCATGGTGCAGGGAAGCAGAGAGGGGGAGAGATCAGGGGAGACCAGGGAGGAGCTGGGGAGGGACGGACCCTTTTTGGCCTCATCCACAGTGATGCCTTCTCCCACCAGAGCCCCCTCCTAATTGCAAGTTGGCTATGTGCCCCTGAAATCCAGCCACCTTCCAAAAGCCCTGCCTATGAATGAGTGAGGCTTTTGGGGACATCTTGGAATAAACCACAACAGCTGGTGTGCGTCAACCACTATGCTCTGTGTCTGTTGGTCCAATATGTATTTTCAAAAGACAGTA